AATGGGGAATATTGTTGCACTGCTTACAGGAATATAATCATGCTTTTAAGAATACTCTCATAATAGTAATAGAATACTTTCTTAAGGCAGAGTTTTGAGTATAAATTTGTAAAACATGAGATTAAAAGTTATGACAATGAAGTCACAAAGAAGCTAGCCTCAAAGTAAACATTATAAAACAATTAGTAAAAGAATCTTAATGTACTAAACATTTTGATAAAAGTGGACATGGTTTGACTTTATTTTTGTAAAAGGCCTATTATGAAATTATTCACAAAACATTGACTTTATTCTTGAAATTGTAATTTTTGTTTTTATTTTGATGTCACACTAAAATGTCCTGCTGTACAGAAGTCTTTGATGCAGTGTTTTTTTTATTTTTCATATCAATGTCGATTATACTATGTATATACAGACACATTACACTAATTGCTACGAAAAAACATTAAATGTAATTGAAGAACCGAGCGAGAAGATGGCAAGCAAGAATTCCCCTCCCCCCTCTAACCTAATTACTCTGGCCTTCACTGGGCTGATTTCAGCTTCGAAACTTTTAACTAAATTGCTATTGATTCCAGAGTGGGAAAGCGAGTGTCTAGCTTTCCATTGCAGCGGTTGAAGTGGGTGCGACAGCTTGCCACTGATCAGGAGAAATCAGATTTCTCGGTGCCTGATGCACAGGCCTTTCGTTTGGGCTATTTGAAGGCCCCCACAGAGTTGATTCTAATTATGACCTGAGCCCAGCCGCTTCCCAGCAGTGATGAGGTCATGTGCAGACAAGGGGACCAAGATGCTGGTGGCCTCACTTTCTCTCATATGCACTCACCCTGTCCTTGAGGGAGAAGGGAAAAGAGATTGTAATCTCATCTGTCCTGGGTTCCATCTCTCTAGGGATCTGAGCATGGAGACGCCATCCTTTTCAACTGACACGTTGGTAATGGCAACTCAAGGTCCTCCTGCTTGTTAATGGAGGAGGAGATAAGCCTGCCTCTCATTCATTGCTCTGAATAGGTGTATGGGAAACATCAACCGTTTCTTGAAATGAGGCTACCCAGCACTTCCCAACTGTCAACATTGTTGGCAGAGGCATCAGTCATTTGTTAAAAGGAAAGGTACCCTTGAACTGAACAGTACTTGTAGCACAATGTGTTTATCTGGCAACTTGTTATAACCACTAAGTTAAGCATATTGCTTGCATACTTTTGAGTAAATTAAGTCTGTTTGGCCTTAAAGTACAAAGATGCAAAAATGTCAATACAATTTATTGTAGCAAGCTACTTTTAAGGACTTAGTTTAAGTTTTCTCTCAAGGTCTAGGATTCTTTTATTGTGCATTGAGAAATATCCGGGCCCAGATGCCGTGTTTGCCATTTTAGCCTAGGGTAAGATTAAAACTACCAAAACACGTCTGAAGACTGTGATTCTTACATGCCCTTCTCATGCTCTGGTTTATTTGAGTTAGCCTAATTATTTGATTTTAAAACACATTTCCATTTCAACACACAAAGAAACAAATTAATAGACTGTCCGAATTCATTGTCATTCATCAAAATGAGCATATCCAATGACTTCCCCTCTTGGCTAAAGTGGCGAGATATAATTTGCAACATAAATGCGGAAATGTGTAAATAATTCAGTAGCTAAGCTCCCAGCCCAGGGTCTATGCATCTCCACAGGGCTAGCTTGGCACAGCGTCAAGGGGTGTACTAGAAAGAGAGCACTTCACTTTGATTTCATCAGGTCTCTAGATCAATGTACGCCGGCGATAGATTTGAAGTTTTAAATAAAGTGAATTTAATTTGTAGCCAGTGGCAAATGTATTTGTATGTTGGTCCTCCACTCATTTTATTGGAATTGATTTTTTTTTTTTAATTGTGGGCATATTGGTACAGCTGTCATTGACTCAATGTTCCAATGTGTTGTTGAAACGCACAGTTAATTTGTTTGCTCTAGGGACTAATCAATGCAAGGTAAATGATATACAGGGTTGTTTTGAAAAGTTCACAGCTGGAATCAGGTGTAGTAATGACTGAATAAACACATGTGCATAAAACCACACACTCAACAGTGTACTCTAAACAGACACTTGATACGATTCCTTCCTACGCCAAGACCCTCAGTGCCAACAGGCTCCAGACAGAGGCTTTATCTCCACCGTACTGCCTTAGGATTACTGCTCAAAATCCTGTCATTCTCTCATTAAAAATGTGGATAAGAGGATAACTGTCTGATTGGGAGGGAAGAGATGGGACGCATAAACCTTCAACACCTCCAGAAGTCAGATTGTTTGATTCTTAAAAGAAATGCTAGGAAATGAGGAAGGATTAGTGTAATGAATTTGAGGGTATTTGGACATAGGCCATGTCCTAATGAAAGACTGTTTGGAAAACCCAGTGTAATGTGAAGGAGATATAATGATTCTTTCTCCCTAGCTGCTTCTTAACAGCTTTTGACAATAAATGTCAGTGTTTTAAGGCCGTTACAGCCTCTGGGGCCTTCTGGACCACTGGATAACAGCTGTCACTCATTGATTTTTGCTAGACAGCCAGTGACTTACCACTCAGATTAATAATTAATTTGGCAGATACTGAAGCACACCCTTGTGGGGTGGGGTGGCGTTGAGTGGGCTGAACGCCCATACCTCCAGCTTTGCTCTAACCTGATTGAAACGGATTGTCCTGTGGTGCAATGATTTAACTAATTAAGTTTACATAGATTTTCTGGAAACTTCATAAAGAATCAGATAATGCTTTATAAAATTATTTTAAATTGGAAAAAATCTCTAATTAATTTTCCTAGATTGTGTGTTTGAAAAATATTTTTATTTGGTCTTAGTTCTTTACTGTCTAGACATAATTGAGCTTGCCTTTTGTCAGAAAACCAATAGGTTCACTCCTTTTCCCCAGCCCATTCATGCAGGGATTTACTTTCTTTGTTGCTTTGTCTATGGTCTGACATTTTCCAGTTGAATTCTAAACTTTTACCCATAATTTGAGCTGAATGCCTTGTTTTTAATGCAACTCTGCTAAGCTGATGAAATTCCCTGGGAAGGGCATTTATCAGGTTATTGTGGGATTTCACCTTTTGTTGTTGCAAGTCCAATCCTGTAGTCCATTCAGAGAGATAAATGTTGGTTTTAGAGTGAGCAAAGAAAGTCATGCAGTGTGCACATTTCCAGCAAAGTGAGCAGATTGGGGTAACATTCATATTTGACCTTCATTTATATTCCCTTCCTGAGATAATCTAAGAGAGCCTTGCTGTGCTATTCATCTTGAAGCAACACGATCCGTCCCACTCATTTTCCCAAACTGCATGGACGCGTGCATAAAAAATGAGAGGGTTGTCACAGCTTGACACATGATTAGCAGCAACCTCGCTTTTATGGCAAGTACACACACGAAAAGACTGATTACTCTAGGCAAATTATAGATTCACTTCAAATGATACTGACATATCTCAACACATGGCCTAGTTCCCTCTTTGCTTTACCTATATATTATTCCCTGTCGCCTGTGTCCTTGATCTGCCCTCCTGAAATCCCCTTATCCTAGTTTTCCTCCCCCCCTCACCATTTCTCAGCCTCCCACTCACCTTTCCTGCTACTGTCTTTGTCCTTCCTCATCAGTAACTTCCAGTGTTGTCCCATTACTTACCCAAGCGCTCTTGATCCGAACTCTCTTCACTCTCTCTTTCAGTCATTAAGTATCTCTTCAAATGTTTTTTGTACCAGGGCTCATGCAAGTCTCATTTTTATTTTCCCGCAGTATGCCTCAGCTGGATGTCTGCTGTCCCTCCACCACAGCGAGAAGCCAGAGCATGAAGAAGTCTGTGAGTTCCGCCCGTACACCTGCCCATGCCCCGGGGCTTCCTGTAAATGGCAGGGCTCCCTGGAGGCCGTCATGCCACATCTCATGCATGCCCACAAATCCATTACCACCTTACAGGGCGAGGACATTGTCTTTCTGGCCACGGATATTAATCTACCGGGGGCTGTGGACTGGGTCATGATGCAGTCATGTTTCGGGCACCACTTCATGCTTGTTCTAGAGAAGCAGGAGAAATACGAGGGACACCAGCAGTTCTTTGCCATCGTGCTGCTCATTGGCACGCGAAAGCAAGCGGAGAACTTTGCCTACCGCCTCGAGTTGAACGGCAACCGTAGGCGGCTCACATGGGAGGCCACGCCACGCTCAATCCATGATGGCGTAGCAGCGGCCATCATGAACAGTGACTGTCTTGTATTTGATACCTCTATTGCCCACCTGTTTGCAGACAACAGCAACCTGGGTATCAACGTTACCATCTCCATGTGCTGAGGTGGCAGTGTAAGGCTTTTTCCAGTGACCCAAACCTAGGACAACCCCTGCTCCCTATCAGACTGCAGGTTCTGAAGGCAACGGCTGGGAGATGTATACATTTGTGTATATTTCTGTTCAAGAGTCATCCGCTAAAATAGCGCACACTTTCCAGATTCACTAGTGGGTTAGTATGCTAGACGGATGGCAAGAGTCCTTCTCGAGATGAAGCGGGGAGTGTGCAGGTGTTAGCTATCAGTTGAAGGCATTGGTGCACTTGAGAATTTCTTTTGCCCACCCCAAGGATACAAACACCTCAACTTTCTGATTACACCTTCGATAAAAGTTTGGGTTTGGATGACCACTGTCGCAGAATCAAAATGCTAACTTAGGAAGAGTCTAGGCATGAAGGTGTAACATTTGCCTCAGAAGCTTATAAAACCTATGTGTACAAAAACTGCACTGACTACTTTGGTTTTCGTCTTTGGATATTGAGTGAAACCATGGAAATTGTACATGGCAATGTAAATGGTAATCCTCTGAATTTCATGGTTGTATATTGTCTTGATAAAACAATGCCCATGGTGGAAATGCGGTGTACATGGTGGAAATAAAATACACTTGCAAAAATGACTACATAGCCACCATGTTTGTAAGGCAAGAATCTGACCTCTTCATTAAATTTTTTCCTTTCTTTAAAAAAATAAATAAAAATACCATATTTGCCATCAATGTTGCAAGACGTAAATAAGGCCAATAATAAAGTTTATTTTGGGGTCCTCTGTCAAAACTTATCCAGAGGAGAGAATTGGTTTGTGATCAACACAGATATTGATCATAAGCTCCATAAAATGACAGAACTATAGCCAACCTTTTCAAATTTTGTTACCCATGATCTAATGCCACGTATTCATAGATATATTTGTATATGATTCTTGATTTATTTATTTTTTAAAGGGATACTTGACCTATAACATAAGCTCCATAAAATGACAGAACTATAGCCAACCTTTTCAAATTTTGTTACCCATGATCTAATGCCACGTATTCATAGATATATTTGTATATGATTCTTGATTTATTTTTTAAAGGGATACTTGACCTATAAATGATAAATCTGTTATTTAGTTACCCTCGTGTTTTATAACACTTATTTGTGGAGCACCAACGGAGAAGTTTAGTAGAATATCTCAGCTGTTCTCTTTCAGTACAATGTACGCGGATGGGACTAGGGCTTGTCAAGCTACAAAAAAAGCACCATAAATGCAGACCATACAACCTGTGTTCTGTATTGCAAGTCTTCTGAAGCCATATGATAGTTTTGTTTAAGGCAGAGACTGAATTTTTTTTTTATTTTTATTGAAAATCTTTAATTGTATGAAAAAGAACAGCTCACACATTTTGCTAGATGACTCCTTTACAGGTGTCAATAACACAAGGCTGAGGAAATGATGATAGAATTAACATTTTTGAGTGAACCATTTCATTTTATATAGGTGTTCCTCCTTTGTTTTTTAGTGTACTTGTCAACAGTGACTGTATGTAAAAGATTTAGCCTGCACACAAACAATGTTATTTTCTTGTTGATAAAGTGTCCGCATTTAATTGGTTTTGTTGTCTTTGTACTTTTTCTTTCTTTATATTTGAGGTTATCTTTAAGGTTAAGAAAAGCTTTTGTAAAAATATAAACAATTTTAGTTTTGTTGATATTTGTTGTTACTGTTACGTCTCTTCAAGATTATTTAGTCTAGCTTTGTTTACTCTAGTTCTTTTAAACCCAGTAAGATCTGAACAATCTCTCACTCTCCTCTTTGGTCAATGAACCCACAATGCCTTACTTGTATACAAACTCAGTCTTTTAAAGTCTGCCGCCTTCTAGGACTCCGTGTCAAGTTCAGGTCACTATCCTCCAAACCTCCAGTGTCTTGAAAGAGACTTACATTTTACAAAGTGGCATTATGAGTGGGAAGGACATGGCACGTCATTCTACCTTGCCCCCAAAACCTGCTGCAGTAACCGTTTCACTTACACTGTTCAAGTACGGAACCCAGCCTCTTTTTAAATACCTCTGATGACTTTGAAGATGTCTGTGCAAGAAGCGCATCGATATCCCTGAATGTGGGTGGTTCTGTGAAGAGATCTCAAGTTTGATGCACAACTGACACCCTCAGCTCTTCTTTATCTGTCTGCTATTTCACTCCTCCTGAAAAATAATTTAAAAATGTAAATTAAATGTTTTATAAATGTGGAGCAAATGCATTCTGTTTCGTTGATTAATTTTTACATTTAGAGACCGATAGGAAAAGGTGAAAAAGTGCTCATGTGGTCCGTGTCTCCACTCCTCAAACATGTGGACAGACTCTTGTCCCCGATGCTTGTTCTCTCTACATGCAGTTGTCATGGCAACTAAATATGCAAATGAGAAATCTAGTTCATTCATTCCTAGAAGAAAATTCTTGTATATTTTTAAACATTTTCTTGATTAGTCTGAAATCCCTTTTTGACACCTTTTTTCTAGATGCCTTCAAAATGAGTGAATCTCTTATGGTATTTACAGGACATGGATAAATCCTCTAAAAGTAAAAAAAATATGAAATAAATTATGCAGTTGAACCAAATGGATGGTGACTGTAGAACCTCTATCACATAAAAACTAACCATGTTCAATTTGCACATTTAGCCTCATCTGTTTCGATTTCCAAATAATACACGGATATATTCTGATGTCTTAATTCTGATATGACCATCCACCAGTTGTAGCTTTTTGCAGATTGTTGTATCTCCAAGACAGAGACAAGACATACCATGTCAAAAGAGACCACCAGCCATCTGTCTCTCTCCCACGGCATTTTAGACTCCCCTATACAGAAGTGAACACAAAACTGAATAAATACATTTTAATGAAGTGAGCAGGTGGTTTCCTGAGCTGTGTGCCATGCCTTGCAATCAAGCCATCACGATCAATATTGAGCACCACATCCTAATGAACTTGCGAATAAACAAGTCTTCGTCAAGGACTAGAATACTTAACGTTCATGGTAATGAAATGATGAGATGTTTCCTGTGCCAACCCAGTGATACAAATACTAGCACATGTGAGTTTACAGGTCTATCAATATGAAAAACCCTAACCATAGTTATTTCAAATGCATTATTCGAAGAAAAAGTATTTTAAATAGAAGGTTGAAGTCACAATGAAACATAAATAGTGACATCTTTTCTTCCTTTTTGTGATGTACACCTGAGTGAAATGGATGATCAAAATAGAAAAAAAATGTAGGGCGGTTCAACCCATTGGCTGTTGATTAAATGTAGGCAGATCTGCTGAATGTGAGCTTGTGGTGCATTCAAGTGCTACTGGGAAGTTCATATTTACAAGTTGGGAAGTCGTAATTATGATGTTGGGTGCATTCAAATAATTTGGTCGGAGCAAGATGGCGATGTAACTTTTCTACAAAATAATTAAGCAAGATTCTCTACTTTATTAAAATTAAGAATAAAGAATGTGCATCTTTGCTTTTTAATGTTCTTATTTAATTCATGAAGGTGCTGTTAACTGTTATATACTCTATCATGATTGTACAATACTATTGTATTTTTTGTACATGCTTCACACCATGTCAGGTTCTAAGCAGGCGTACGCACTTTTCCTTGTGACAGAGTTGGAGTACTACAGTACGATGACGCATTGCTGCCACACACACATTATTTTTTCCACTCAATTATGTCGTAATAAGGAGATATGTCGTTAAAACGACATATTTTCTTGTAAAACCTAGATGTTATGTCGTAAAAACTATGTAATTATCTCATTAAAACGACATATTTTCTCGTTAAAACGACATTTTTTCTCGTAACAACGACATATTATGTCATAAAAACGATATGTTTTCCCGTTATTATAGATATATGGTAGGCTATAGGTGAGCGAGCTAAGCGACTGTTCGTGCTGCTGTCGCCACAGTCTGACATAAACGAGGATCTGCACGTTGCTGAAATTATTGAAATACACTGTTTTAAATGTATTTTAATGTAATGGTTTTAATTGTAGCAGCATGTTTATTAGGATTAATCTCCAATCTGTCTACAATATAGTGCTATCCAATAACTGCACTCAGACCCATGACTCGTTTAGGCTATGATCAGATCAAAACAGTTATTTTTGAATAATCGACTCTGGGCTTAATATTTCTTTATTTGAATGACTGAAGTTTGATTTAACAACAAATCAAAATACGAAAAAAAAAAGAAATAAAGAGATTTTCTAATAGGATAATAATAATAATAATTATCATTATTTCATTCTGTTTGGCAAACGGGCAAACGAAAATTAAGCTAGATTTTTCATATTGTTTGTTCATGGGTTAAAAAATCAGCTTGCTATTTGTGCGTGGGCGGCCCTAAAAACGCCACTTTTCTCTCAGCCTGTCTTTACGGTCTATCCCATCACACAGAATAAGAGTTCATCTCATGTACCGCTCTGCAAATTAGTTACAATAACGTTTCTTCAAACTGTCTGGCCGTTGTATAGGCTATATTTCTTGCAAATATACATCTCATATAAAGCACAACACTGCTCTTCTCGGTTCGGCGGCGCCGGCGCGATCCCTTAGGCTACATTGTGATAACAGAGGAAAGAATGTCTGCTTTATTTTCTATACTTCTACAATAACAACAAAACGTTACAAATTGCTTTTGTAAAATAACAGGGTGTGCTTTCTGGCACACCTTGTTATGTCTAAAGGTCTACTTAAATAAAACAATCGAAAACAAATTTGTGTTTATTTAATTCGTATAGCCTAAATCCAACAAGAGGTACTGTACAGTCTTTCCCGTCTGAGCTCATCTGTATTCCCATAAGAAGAATGCGATGCGATGTGCGGCTTAATTCAGCTAAAGATATCCTTTAATAATATATAACCACTAATACATAATATATAATCAGACTAAAGTATCAAAGCTGCCCACGCATGTGAAACAAATATTAAAGCATAAGCTAATTTGTTTACCCATGAACAAAAATAGGCCTAAGAAAAATCTAGTTTAATTTTCATTTGCCCGTTTTCAAACAGAACGAAATAATAATAATAATAATTATTATTATTATTATATTATTAGGCTATTATGTTATTATTATTAGCCTATTAGAAAATCTCTTTATTTCTTTTTGTTCGTATTTCGATTTGTTGTTAAATCAAACTTCAGTCATTCAAATAAAGAAATATTAAGCCCAGAGTCATTATTCAGAAATAACTGTTTTGATCTGATCATAGCCTAAACGAGTCATGGGTCTGAGTGCAGTTATTGGATAGCACTATATTGTAGACAGATTGGAGATTAATCCTAATAAACATGCAGCTACAATTAAAACCTATACATTAAAATACATTTAAAACAGTGTATTTCAATCATTTCAGCAGCGTGCAGATCCTCGTTTATGTCAGACTGTGGCGACAGCAGCACGGCCAGTCACTTAGCTCGCTCACCTATAGCCTACCATATATCTATAATAAGGGAAAACATATCATTTTTATGACATATGTCGTTTTTATGAGAAAATATGTCGTTTTAAGGAGAAAACATCTCGTTATTATGAAAAAAGATGTAGTTTTAACGAGAAAACATCTCGTTATTATGAGAAAAGATGTCGTTTTAACGAGAAAACACATTTCTCAAACTATTACATTGAGAAAGTAATGTCGTTTTAAGAGAAAAGATGCCGTTAAAACGACATATCTCATTATTACGACATAATTGAGTGGGGAAAAAAATGTGTGTGGCAGCAATGCGTCACCGTACTACAGCTATTCTGGTAATCTAAGCAATTCTTGCTGCTCACTATTCTCAAGTAAAGGATTTAGATGTTGACTGATGCTCTTTTAAATGCTAATGACATTAATTAGGGGGCGTTTACAAGGTGGAGATCTGAAACTGAGCACAATTTCAAGATCATTTCTTATTTATAGATTTCACATTTGGAAGAGAGGCATACACATTTTTTTGTGCGCATGTTCTTTTCTCTGAATCCCACGTACGCACATTTGACATATTAGTTCAAAAGTAGGACAGTTTCTACAGAACATATTATAAATGAGGCCCCTGAATTTCCCACTTGTAATTACGACTTGACTTGTGGTGGCATTCATGTGCGTTTAAGTCATAAATGGCATTCATGTGCGTTCAAGTCGGAATACAATATTTCCGAAAAGACTTTAAAGCACCGTCGCAATCGATTGTATAAAAAAAAAAATTACAAAAAAAAGGGCACGGTTTAAGTAGACTAAATGATTAAATTCATCATTAAATTCAACAGTAATAATAATTGGCATTGGTTTGGTGTGATATAAGCTAACCAATCGTTAGATTTAATCACCACTGATAGTGCTATTTATTGTAATGCTTTTTTCCTCAGTTGATCAGAACAAAAGTGGCAGTTGTTACTTGTTCAGATGACATTCTCTAGTGAAAACTCTTATTTGGGTCATACTTTCAAGAAGTAGAATCTGTGAATACAAAGCGCAGTATCCACACCGGTGCAGTGACTGACAGCCACACATTAGATTCACCCACGCTGGAGCCGTGCCAGTGCACAACCCACACAAGGAAAATAATTCTGCAAATAGCTGCAATTGCAGGTTTTCAAACAGAGATGGCGACTAAGAGGCAAAACTTACGGACTGCAGCTTTTAAGGTGATTCACTTCATTTACTGCATTAAAAGCTGTGCTAACTGTGTAATGTTTTGCTTATTTTGGACATGAAAAGAATAGTGTGAAGTTCCTTTTGCCATTTTTTTTTTATCAGCCTAGATAAATTTACAGCAACAGACCAAATTTCCAATAATCACACCACCAATACTTTCTAGTCATGTTCTCTTAATGTTCAACTTAGTGTTTATTACTTTTGAATTCTCTGTGTTTATTTATTCAGAGTATATCTGTGTAATTGTTTTATCTCCTCTTGCTAGGTTATTAAATATGTTGTTGTGGCTATAGCGATCATTATTATTCAACATTAGCAATGAAATGCTGTTTCCTGTTGAGCAGGTATAAATGGGTAATGTACACATCTGCTTGGTCTGATATCTTTTTTTTTTCTGAACACCCTTAACTAAATGTCTTTTAATAGTTTTACAACTGAATCCATAATGATTGGTGTACTTTGATTGCATCTTAATTTTGAAATTTTTAGTTGATACTGTTAAAGGCAGAGTAAGTGATTTCTGGTAGCCAATGTTGATATTTGAAATCACCAAAACAAACACGCCCCTACCCCAAAAGGGTCTTGCCTCTATTCTGATAGCTCTGCCCCACATATACGTACGCAACCCAGGCAACGATTAGTTCTGTGAAACAAAGCAAAACCAATGTTACACCGTGTCTACGGACGTGAGCGGTGCGGCGCAACAAATCCCTGACAGAAAACTGCTGCCGGGTTCTATTTATGACGTGCTGACACAAATTTCAAATGGTTTTCAACGGTCGTTTGATCGCGTCCAGTGTAGGCAGACTTTAGCTGTTGTAGACACGGTGTTACTCACCTATTGAGAAGAAACAAAGCAACCTCGGCGTCCGATTGCAGGCCTCCGCTCCTTGAGTTCTCTCCAGCGCTGGAAAGCTGATCCGATATTTACACGGGTCCTACTTCTTGCCTTATCGTTCCGCAGACGTTTTCCTCTTTTGTTTTTTATCCGCCATCTCTATCTTTCTGTCGCTGGCTTGGCTAATGTCCGTCCCATGCACTGAACACACTCTCCTCCACATCACGAGTAGACACGCCCCTTATTGCTGATTGGCTACAAGTTTGTTTTGCGATTCGGCCCGAATCAGTTTTCTAAAGTGTTTTTGAAAAATCACTCACTCTGCCTTTAAACAAGTTTTTTGGTCTTTGTACCATTTCAATTCAAATAAAGTTTGAATTTATTTGTCAAATGAGTGTATTGTGTGTAACTTATTGTCAGATAGCCATTCTACAGTTAATTATTCCAGACAGATATTTAAAAATTCTAAACATTTATTAACATTTCTGAGGTACACAAAAAAAAGTAAATTTTGTATATATATATATATATTAAAAAAAAAAGTCAATTACTATCTGCTCAATTTCGCCTGTGTTCTCTTTCACAACTGTGATCTCTGTGTTTGGCAAACCCTCTGTCATTTCCTCTGTCTCTCTCCCGGTGTCTCTCTCGTTCCCTGACTCTATCACGTTCCCTTTCTCTCTCACGCTCTCTGTCTCGTTCTCTTTCCCCATTTTTCTCTCTATCAACACCTCTTACTCTGTCTCCCTCCCTGTCTCGCTGTCGTGTGTCTTCATGTCGTTTATCCTCTCTGTTCTTGTCTATCTTTTTGTCTTCTTCTCTATCCCTTTCCCTCTCACCTCCATACCTATCTCTGAATCTGTCCACCTCATCTGCAGTGTCTTGTGGATTCCTGAAGTCTTGTCCCGATCTGTCCCTTCTGCTTCCTGCCAGTCCTTTCGTGGCATACTTCTCATATATCGTGTCCTCTTTCTCCTTCTTCACTCTGACAGGAGAAGACATTGACGTCTCAGTCCGTGCTTGTTTCTCTTCCTTTAGTGCCTTTTTCTTCTCTTTCTTCTCCTTTTTCTTTTTTTTCTTCTCCTTTTTATCTGATGTATAACAACATAATAAATGAGTCAAATAACAAATACAGTTATTTTAAATAAAAAGATAAATGTCTTGAAATAATCTTATCAAATGTAGTTACATTTACTGAACAGATATAACCTCTTCTCACCTTTTTGGGGCTTTTTCACAGGTACAGCATACTCTTTCTCAGATTCTGACTCAGAGGAGGATGGTGGGGGGACTTTGGGAGCACATCCCCGTTCTCGCAAATGTTTAGTGACATCATCAATGTCATCGGTGTCCTTTGGTGGTCGATAATTTGCTACATGGTCCACACGTATGGTTCGGCCCTTAATCTTTAAAGCAAAAAATAAAAAATTATATATATATACTGTATATATGCAACACATGGGTCAATTACATGACAATATTATTTCCCTGATATATGAGTTCCTTTTTTAATGAATAAATAAATGAATTAAAATGTAATAATTTGACCTCTTTATAATAAGATAAGGCTGGGTGATATGGCCAGAAATATTAGCACGATATTTTTTTCCATATCATACAATATTGATATTTACCATTTTATTTTTTCTAGATTCTGTGTTTTATGATTCAATACAAGTTTATCATAAAAAATGGTTTCTAATGAAATGAATAAAATGTTAACAGTTTGATCATTCTTTTAAAATGTAAGCAAATGAAATTAATTTACAACAAATCATTGCATTTTTATTGTCAAGCAAGATGCTCCACAAAATAACTGTATAAATGAATGGAAAATACCTTGGTTGTATGATATTCCTTAAACATAATATTATTACTATTATTAATTTGAGAATTATATTTTATTATACAATAGTAATATCTTTCTGACATAATTTCTTCAAGTTAAACCAGACTTTTATTTTGATGTGTTGTCGTGAAGGTCTTTCAGTTTTAGTGTGTATTTGCTGTTTTATGACGTGACGTGACATGTGGCCAAGTATGGTGACCCATACTCGGAATTAGTGCTCTGCATTTATCCCATCCAAAGTGCACACACACAGCAGTGAACACACACACACCATGAACACACACCCGGAGCAGTGGGCAGCCATTTATGCTGCGGCGCCCGGGGAGCAGTTGGGGGTTTGGTGCCTTGCTCAAGGGCTTAGTCGTGGTATTGAAGGTGGGAGAGAGCGCTGTACATTCACTCCCCCCACCTACAATCCCTGCCGGTACGAGACTCGAACCCGCAACCTTTGGGTTACGAGTCCGACTCTCTAACCATTAGGCCACGACTTATTTGATGGCAGTTTTTTTCTCAAATGAAACAGTGTAACATGCAGACTTATTTGCCACATGCACTGACTTGCTGCTGTCGCCTTTATTTCTGCTGTGTGATAGACTGTAAGTTTAATCCATATCAAGTAAAAATGTCCAGAGCTTATGATTATCGACATTAATTTAAATACGATTGTTTCAACAAGTAGAATATATTCCATTAGTAAACACAACTGAATAAGCAACTGGAATAAGCCTTTCACCTTTATTCCATTAAAGTTATCCACAGCCAGAATGGTGCTCCTTTGATCTTCATAGCACAGGAAGCAGAATCCTTTGGATTTGCCCGTCTTTTTATCTCGCACCAAATTGACGTTGGCAATCTCTCCGTACCTGACATGCACAGAGGAGGATTAAGCTTCACTAGGAGAAAAAAAACCCGAAGTACTGACTTCTTTAGCAAGAAGTGAAGACGTCTTTGAAATGTAGGGGAAAAACATGGGTATGAGCAATTAGGACTTACTGAGAGAATACACAGATGATGTCTCCTTCTGTCAGCTCATACGGAATTCCACCTGCAGATAACAACATATTTACATACAGTGCTGACTGGATTGGCATTAAATAAATAAACAAATAAATAAAAATATTATATAAATACATAATTCACTAACAAAATGTCACATTTTTGAAACAGTACTCTTTAATCTGGCAAATAAATGTGAGATAAAATCAATGAATTTACATCACTTTGAAATTTGATGAGGACAAATAAGCATCACTGTACTGTGTACTAGAACGGGATTCAGAGAAAGACTGAGATCATGCCATTTTGTACAGAAGCACACATTTAGTGTGAAACAGGTGAATGCTGCCACCATCTGGCAGTATCTCCAACCCTGCTCCTGGAGAGCTACTTTCCTGCAGACTTCAGTTCCAACCCTGTTTCAACACACCTGTCAGTTATTTTCAAGTAACTCTGAAGACCTTGTATAGCTGATTGTGGTGTGTTTGATTAGGGTTGGAGATGAAATCTGCACGACGGTAGCTTCCAGGAGCAGGATTGGAGACACCTGGCCAATCCAGAGAGCATTTTAGTGTATATGAAGCCCATTGCCGAATATTGTTTAGTTAGACAGTCAACTGGGTTTTGGCCCACAGCCATGATTTTAACCAGTCACTCACCGATAAAGATCCAGGCGCTCTCCTTATATACTGAATGCCAGGACACGCTGTCTTTGACATCTAGTTCAGCCTCTTTTTCATTCAGTTCATTGATGAGTTTCACTTTGGTGAGCGGACTACATATAAATAACAGAGATAATGAACATACATTTACATACATTTTATTCTGTACAACATTTATTGTCTCCAATATTGTTATCCTGTTGTGGCGTCAGCATCATAAGATCAACGTGTATAAGAATTTATGATTCTTCAATCAGGGGCACTTATGACCAGTATATTGTAATGCATTACTTTTAAAAGTAACTTTCCCCAACACTGCTTATGACAACCTGAAATCTTGAAGAATGAAATTTCTTCAAATTATGTTTTAACATTTTATCACAAATATTTATGGCAATAAAGTAACCTCGTATATAAATAACGTAATAAGGACTTCTTCTTTTTACTATTTATGCCAAAAGAGTAGGCGTCTTAGTGTTTTACATTGACCCATTTAATTTTCTTGTTATTTGTCGGGGTCCTATAACTTAATCAAAAAGAATAACTGAATCGGGAATAAGAAAAGTAGTTTACGTTCAAGTTTTAGCAGATGGATAATTAGCATTTGGCTACTGTTGCAAAAACGGGGCTTTAAAACTTTAGCGTTCACCTTATGGCATTTCCTGTTCCAATCCTGACGAGTCTAGTAATTTTCTTGGACTAATTAGAAACATATGGCAACAAATGTAAGCGAGATATTTCAATACAAACATTCAAAACATCACTTACTTCATCGTGATGAGCCGCAGTCACTCCGGAAGGATTTATTTCCTCTGGCGAGTTTCGTAGTTCGCACGTGGTACTACTTTCTTCCGGGTTAATGAAAAGGATTGTGGGATATGTAGTTGACTGACTCGGATTACTTGTGCAGTTTCTACTTTATCATTACTACTGTATTTCTCAAATGTTGCAATTAATTTTACAACCAAAGGACAAATGAACATATAAAGCATACACTGATAGTTTTATTGGCATAAAAGCTGTTCAATAATTTAAAATAGTAGCCTAATCCGGACACCAGTGGCAGGAACACTGGCAGTGTGAGAGGCCTTGACAGGGAGCTTTGGGTGACATTATTTAAAATATGTTTGGGTGGCACAGAACTTACCTATGTCCACTTAAACTAAAACCTAACTAACTTAAACTAAACTAAATATAATACACATCACTATGCAACTAGTCCCGCAAGATGCTAAAACTATCGCATCAAGCCAAGGCGCCAAGTGAAACCAAAGCCTGCCAGCCACGCAAGACTGGAGGGATGGAAGAGCCACGCATGTCAGCCTGCCAGTCGCAAGGCTGACCTTCTTCACCATGGCCTACTGGGGGACCTGAAACGATTAGAAATTTTACAGATTAGACAAACATATTTCATAAGGTATAAAAATAAAAAGTTTGTTTTACCACTGCATATTTTGTCATCACTTTACTCTGACTGCATTTAATTTTAGTCTATGAAAATAATATTACGATTGGCTTTTCTTCTTCTGCTCCACATGGTCATCCTGAGCCTTGGTTGATTTGGGGCAGGACAACAAAAGAAAAAATAGCCAAGCCTCCGAAACCTACTTGTGATCGGTGGGTGTAATTGGCCCCGTGCACACACTCCTCTCATCGCTCATTTCGCTCTACGACAGAGGTTCTCAACTCTGGCCCCTAGTAATTTTCTTGGACTAATTAGAAACATATGGCAACAAATGTAAGCGAGATATTTCAATACAAACATTCAAAACATCACTTACTTCATCGTGATGAGCCGCAGTCACTCCGGAAGGATTTATTTCCTCTGGCGAGTTTCGTAGTTCGCACGTGGTACTACTTTCTTCCGGGTTAATGAAAAGGATTGTGGGATATGTAGTTGACTGACTTGGATTACTTGTGCAGTTTCTACTTTATCATTACTACTGTATTTCTCAAATGTTGCAATTAATTTTACAACCAAAGGACAAATGAACATATAAAGCATACACTGATAGTTTTATTGGCATAAAAGCTGTTCAATAATTTAAAATAGTAGCCTAATCCGGACACCAGTGGCAGGAACACTGGCAGTGTGAGAGGCCTTGACAGGGAGCTTTGGGTGACATTATTTAAAATATGTTTGGGTGGCACAGAACTTACCTATGTCCACTTAAACTAAAACCTAACTAACTTAAACTAAACTAAATATAATACACATCACTATGCAAGTAGTCCCGCAAGATGCTAAAACTATCGCATCAAGCCAAGGCGCCAAGTGAAACCAAAGCCTGCCAGCCACGCAAGACTGGAGGGATGGAAGAGCCACGCATGTCAGCCTGCCAGTCGCAAGGCTGACCTTCTTCACCATGGCCTACTGGGGGACCTGAAACGATTAGAAATTTTACAGATTAGACAAACATATTTCATAAGGTATAAAAATAAAAAGTTTGTTTTACCACTGCATATTTTGTCATCACTTTACTCTGACTGCATTTAATTTTAGTCTATGAAAATAATATTACGATTGGCTTTTCTTCTTCTGCTCCACATGGTCATCCTGAGCCTTGGTTGATTTGGGGCAGGACAACAAAAGAAAAAATAGCCAAGCCTCCGAAACCTACTTGTGATCGGTGGGTGTGATTGGCCCCGTGCACACACTCCTCTCATCGCTCATTTCGCTCTACGACAGGGGTTCTCAACTCTGGCCCTCAAGGTCCACTTTCCTGCAGAGTTTAGCTCCAACCTTGATCAAACTCTCCTGCCAGTAACTTTAGTAATGCTGAAGAACTTGATGAGTTTGTTCAGGTGTATTTGATTAGGGTTGGAAATAAATTATGCAGGAAAGTGGATCTCAAGGGCCAGAGTTGAGAACCCCTGGGGTCTGTATCATGATGGTAGATGAGCAAATTCAGAGTTACAGGGTTAGTTTTGAGTTGACAAAACCAAACCACTCCAATCCGGCTTTGTTGGTACCATGATGCTGATCATCAACTTTCTTTGTCAACTCAGGCTTTGATCCTGAGCTTGTGGAGCGTGTGCACATGAACGTGTGACATCAGTGGCAAACAGCCAATCACATGCCTTGCAACAAAGAGCAAGTGTGATGCACGTATTTGCGAGAGAGCCATCGAGATTCAAAACTCTTTTCTTAAAGGTTAAGAGATCAAAGAATATGAGGAATATAAATGCATTTACACTGAAGTACTTGTCCATGAAAGAGGACAAATAAAAGAAATGATCTTGTTCTATTAGTGCAGTCACAAGTGAAACTTGTGAACTTATATATAATGATTTTTAATTTTTCAAAGCGTTATCTGTTGGTCCTACCACTTATGTATATCTGTATATATTAATATTCATTTAAAATAAATGCTTTATAATAATTGTTAAACTAAAATTGCTTATGTGTAATGGATTAATAGTAGTATAAATCATATTTATATACAGGTGCATCTCAATAAATTAGAATGTTGTGGAAAAGTAAATGTGAGCCAAATTTGAGTTGAATTACTGAAATAAATGAACTTTTCCACGACATTCTAATTTATTGAGATGCACCTGTAAATCATACATAAATCGTAATTATCATTAAAGCCAGACAATTTTGTTGTATTTTTTAAGGTACTTTATAGTGACCTTTAATTTGTAGGAAGAGAAACTGGGGGAGTGACTTTTTTTGCGTCAGACATGTGTCACTTTGCTCACATCTGATTGGTCCAATTTCAGTTTGAAATCTCTTACCTAGAACATAACCTGCCCTGGAGCAGGTTAGCCGTGGAGTGTAAGTTACTATGGCAATGAACGCCGCTAAAAGCCAAGCCACTTTCATGATACCTAAAACCCAGGATTGGTGCAAGCTAAACTGAAACTTACCTGGCTAGCCAGCTAATCTGGCTTCATGGTACAGGCCCCTGGTCTACGAGATAATCGTTGTCCCATGGTCAACATGATAAAATGCTATCAACAACTGTATACACATTGTAAACGAGTTTCATGCTTTATAAGTCCAGTGTCACGTTTTGAAACTCTTGGAATTCAGCTCGTACAGATACAAACATTAAAACTATATATTTAATAATGAATGCAATTCATATATGTGCTTGTGTTTAAAATATTTAGATACATATAACGTGTATACATTCAAAGTAAATGTAAACATGTTTCTTATATAATTTAAGCTTTTAAACTTAGGCTATTAAGCTTTGTGTGGTTCAAAATGTATATTATTAGTAGTACTGTAGTAGTAGTAGTATTAGCAGTAGTATTCAGTAAGATAATTTAGAGATTTAGTTTTAACATTTAACACAGCACTTAACTGCTAATGTAATGATATTTTAATGTGATGTAATGTGCTGAACCTGTAGTTGTAGTTTTTGTTTTCTTTGGTTCATTGAAACTCACTGGCCATTAGATGTTTATTTAATTCACCTGAAGAAGTGGCTGGTGGGAAGTGGTTGTGTTTCCCTTTCAGAACCACATGATGGAGGCAGACATTGCTTTCAATACCTTTCGGAATTACCTTTTTAACAGAATAGGTTTCTTCTTTGAATCAGAACATACTGAAAAATGTCCTCTACAAATAGCTACAGTATATACATTTTTATGTAAGTGTGATATCAATGTTTAGGTCAATATGAAATTTTATTTTATTTTACCAATTGTACTTTGCTAATTTTTTTTTTTCTTAAAGCTAATCTTTTTTTCTACCAGCAATGGTAGATGTTTAAGAAGAGAAACATTTTCAACTGAATTGTTACAATTTATTTATATAGGGCTGTTCAAAATGAATATTGCACAACACAATTTTACAGAGAATATTGCCTTATAAACAGACATTTTATTAAAGGGGCTCTGTCATAACCCCCAGTGGGCAAGATGACTATGATGATGAGAAACCCTCTAGAAACATAAACACAAATAGTGTTTAATTTATTACAGTCATTTTACAATTGGAAAAAAAAAGTGTAAATGGGAACCAAGTGCTTTGGATATATTTTGAACGTAATGTGTTCATTGCAGGCAGAAAAGGAAACAAATAAAGCGGCGTCTGTTGTATTTGGGCAGATGCTCTGGGCTCCACATCCATTAAGGCAGTGTTTCTCAACCAGGGGTCCGTGGACCCCTAGTGGTCCTTGACGTAAGGCCAGGGGGTCCGTATAAAGTATGAATTTTTGTATAAATGTTGTATATTTTGACATGACATGTTCCCATGAAAGAAAAATCCAATATAGCTGATGATATGACCAAATACTGGACAAGTCAACTAACTTGAATTATACTTGACTGCATTTGGTCCTCACAAAGACACAAATGATACATAGATTTTTCAAATTTGTTCTGGGGGTCCTTGAGGATGGTTCTGAATTGGACTGGGGTTTGGTACGCCAAAAGATTGAGATTCACTGCATTAAGGGATGTAGCAGTTTTGTAGACCTTTTACAGTTTCCTATGGCCAGTGGACTGAAAGGACATTCCCAATCTATTGGAAATATTTTCCGGATGTTGTTCCGGAATTGTGACAGACCTACTGTAATTTAACGGGGTGGCTATCATCTTGTCATGACACATTACTGCCTGAGTGACAGTCGGGTGGTCTGTGGGGCATCTGTCTGCTGTCTCAGAGTGTGTCACAAGACACAACCTGACTTTAATATGAGCGAATATCTCACAGATCTGGTTCCTCACCTCTCGCTGCCAGCAGGCATAAACAAGGGGATTTATAAGGGAGTTTGAGAGTCCCAACAGCCAGAGATGGTTCTCCAAAAAGTGATAAAGTTTACAGGTTGGACATGATGCCTGCACAATACTGACCACAAAAAAAGGGCACCAGCAGAGCGTGAAGCAACCAACC